GGCGGGGAGGAGGGAGGAGAAGAGGCAGGAGGGGGAGGACGGAGGAGGACGAGGTAGGAGGAAGGACGAGGTAGGAGGAGGAGGAGGAGGAGGAGGCGGAGGATGAGGAGGAGGAGGAGGAGGAGGAGGAGGAGGAGGAGGAGGAGGAGGAGGAGGATGGAGGCAGGGGGCCTCTCCGTGCCCTGGCGCCGTGACTGCGCGGACGATGCTCTCGACCATCTTCGGTGCCCGCGGGCCCGTGCCCAGCCCCGGGGCCGTCCACAAGACGCCCTGCGACGACGACAAGACGCCCTGCGACGACGACGACGACGAAAGGCACCAGACAAGAAGGCGTTGGCTCAGGGTGTTCCAGCCCACTTCAGTCTTGTTCGCCAGAAAGAGTGTCGAGCACCAAGGTAGTGCCGAAGTGCGAGGGCTTTCACGCGTCGGGCTCTGGGACACTTGTTCGACACTGTGTCGACACCGTTTCGACACACTTCCGGGTGCTCGATGCTATTTCTGGGATGTGGCCCTCAAGTACGATGGGAGCAACATAAGCCTGGGCTCCAGAGGCACAGTTTTTTTTGTTGGGCCGTGCTCCCGCACTCCTCCCCCTCGTGGAGTTCAGGCGGTGTGCCAGGGTGGATCACACCACGGTCGCCTGGATGACCTCCTGGTCGGGTTGGGCCGAGTCCGTTGCCGGTTTCAGGGCGGACTTTCCCCCGTTTGGTGCCGCGTGCCGTCTGACCCGCCGCAGGCTACGCTGCGTGTCCAACACGTGATCCAGGTAGTCGCTTTGCACGACCCACTGTTCCAGTGATTCTCAACCGCTCTGGAGCTGCGTCCCTGCTTTCCCTCCGCATCGCCGCGCGTGTCCCTCCCTCCCCACGCCTCCCCCTCCCTCCTCTTCCTGCTGCTGCTGCGCTGCTTGCTGCACATGCCAGCACACCCGGCACGCCCCCTTGACAAAGATCGTGACTCGCAGGAGTCTCCAACCACGCCCCAGCGGGATGTGCGCGCGCGCTCGCCCTTCCTCCCCCGACCTCTTCCGCTTTTTCTTTAGTTTATGAATCCGATGGATTTCCTAAGGAATCCAATGGATTTCCTAAGGAATCCTACGGCTGTCCCAAGAAATCCTGTGGACCTCCGACGGGATCCTATGGATGTCCGAAGACATCTGATGGATTTCCTTCGGATTCCGATGCATGTCCTAAGGAATCCAATGGATGCGAAGCCGCGACGCGAACCCCCCAGTGCCAGCTTTCCTCACGCGTGGCGAGACTGGGCACCCCAGGCAGGGTGTGAGTGGTTCGCGTCGCCTCCATATCCACCGCGCGCCGCAATGTCTCCATGAGGCCCTCGCCGTGTACACCCTATACCACCGCAGCCCAGTCATCAGGTAAGGGCCGCCAAGTCTCCTGTCCAGAGAACCTTTTCGCACGCTAGGAGAACTGCACCGCTGCTTTCCGAAGTGGTGGCGACGCAGACCGGGCTGCTGCAGCTTATGACAGGTTCGCCCAAAAAGGACCCATCCGACCTGGATACCGTATACCAACCACACCGCTCCAACCAGCTTCGGCTCAGGAGCGAATTGATGATATTGTGCAGGGAGTCCAAGATCAGCTACGCAATGCTGCATTTCGCCCTCGCACACACGCACCAGCCGTGACCCACCAGGGTTTGTGGCACAACCCCCTCGCCAGCTTCGATACGCCAAGCTGGCACGTCCCGATCGTGCCTCCGCCCACCAAGGCCGACGACGGGATCTCACAAATCAGTCGCATCCCCCAACGCACGCTTGAGGCAGGGATCCATCTTTTTCAACATCCCCCCAAAAGTAAGACAACTTCCCTTGCCGTGGCCATCCTCGGGCCCAAGGACGCCAACCACGCAGGCGTGTGCAAGGGTCGCCAAGCCTTCCATCCCGAGAGCGTGCCCGCGCGACAGGAGGCCCGCGTTCGTATTCTCCCACGCAGCGGCGGCGGCCAGGGTGGAGAGGCCCCAGTCGGCCTCAGTCGCGACCCACCAATATTTACGGTCCTAGTCGGTGCCCACCAAGACACCGACATTGCCTCACCTTCTATTGTTGGTGCTGCAAGCTCCGATGTTTCCTCCGCGGAGCCCCCTGGTCAGTACCACCATCACCATGTCCTCTGCCACCACGCGAGTACATACGCAGTGCCAATTCGAGGGCGACGAAGATCAGGGGTTCGGAGAGTTTTGCGCCCTCATCGATCGGTGCCCGACCGCGCCGAATGCGACATGTGCACGAGCAACGACGAGGATCCCGCCCAGGACGGGCTTGGGCAGACCAGGGCCGTGTGCGAGCCAAACGGAATGACAGTAAGGGATCTGTGCGACCTCATCGTCCCGACAAGGTTTCCTTCCTGCCTTAGACGATGTCCTCCTCGGACGCGACCTGGGGTACTCCGCCGAGCACGCGGTCGTGCAAGAGCCCGCCAGTTCCAAAGCATTGATCGACGTTCCTTGGGACTCCGTCGTTTTCTTCCCACTAGTTGCCACGGTGGGAATGACCGCCACGAAACCGTTACTATGGGGGGCTCTTGCGCCGCAGCCAGCGCCAACCTCCACGGGTGCACCCACCAGAGTGGGGCTCAGCGGAGGAGCCAGCCACAGCGACGCCCACGGCGTGGCAAACGACAGCGTCAGCAACACCACCTGCAATGTCACCAGTCTCCACGACAGCACTCGCGCGAGCTGATGACTCGGATCACGAATGGGGCCCCTGGGACGAGGTGGGCCCGCCGAAGGGCTGGGGCCGGGTCGTCTACCCTCGGGGCCGAGCTTGGGCCCGCCAGGGCAAGCGCGCGGTGCGCCAAGGCCGGCGAACTGCCCGACGTCGCGGGCCATGTCCCCCCGCCCGTGCCACAGCCCATCCGTGGGGGCACCAAGGTAACGGAGGAGGAGGAGGAGGAGGAGGAGGAGGAGGGAAGGAGGAGGAGGAGGGGGAGGAGAGTGAGTAGAAGGAGGGAGGAGGAGACAGGAAGAGGAGGAGGTGGAGGAGGAGGAGGAGGAGGAGGGAAGGAGAAGGAGGGAGTGGAGGAGGAAGGGGGGGGAGGGAGGGGGAGGAAGAGGAGGAGGAAGGAGGAGGATGGAGGAGGAGGAGGAGGAGGAGGAGGTGGAGGAGGAGGAGGGGGGAAGGAGGAGGGAGGAGGAGGAGGCGGAGGGCGGAGGGCGGAGGGCTGAGGGCGGAGGGCGGACGGCGGAGGGCAGAGGAGCATTCGCCAGGTAAAGAACCCCATTATCGCCCGACGCAGTGCTGTCATCGGCCGCGCCGGGGATCAGAACCAGCACTGTGTGGTCCTGCCGACCAGTGGCAGCGCCGCCCTAACGTCCGCGGCAAGTTTGATTCCTCTCCCCCCTCTGGCGCCGCGCCCCCTTATGAGGCCAATCGGGCGGGAGGCAACGCTGCGCCAACGTCGGTGATCAGGTCGAGACAGACGCCAGCCCCGTTGACCGCGGTGTCTACGGCTGAGCCGCCAGGCCCGCGCGCGTGAGCACGGAAGCGTGTGCTAGCGCTTGAACTCGCATCGGCGACGCCAGCTGTCGCGCCGGCGATTGTGGCACCGATGAGGCTCGAGCTCACCCTGGTGCTTGGCCCGCGACAGCGGGGGCGCTTTGGCAAGCTCCGCTCCAGCGTTTTTCGGCATAAACACCGACGCGGACCGCGGCGCTCCGATGGCCAACTTCTTCCCGACATCCCAGATGGCGGCGATGGGGGGGCCCCGCGCGCGAGGCCATCGGCCCAGCACCCCACGACCTCGCCGAAGAAGGCTCGGAGAAGGATGCCGATGACGCATCCACCAGCGGGGGCGATGCCCGAGCGGGCGGGGTCTGCTGTTTCCGTGGCCCCCGTTCCTCCGCTCACCGCAGTTGCGGCCGGGGCGCCAGAGTTGTTCTTGGCGCAGGGTGCGTGATGCAGCGCAGCTTTGTTCTTCCCGCCGTCGTGGGGTGCTCGACGGTCTTGGCATGCCTCGGCTCGGGCGTTTCATAAGTGGGCGCGTCTGGACTTCTGGGCCGCGCTTCGCAGAGATCCGCTCCAGTGGGCCGCTTCAACAGCCTGATCAGGGCGAGCGCGCTCATTGTCCTTTCTGCCCTCGCGGCCGCGGTCAGCCCGCCGGGGCTCGCGGGCGTGGGCGCCGGCGACCTCGCGCCCGCGACTGTGGCGAGCAGTTCAACGAGCGCCAGGTCTCGGTGCGGCACGTGCACGACCAGCTCCGCGATGCTGAGCAGCGCGAAGGAATTGACCACCCTGGCGTTGAGAAGCGCTACGGTGCCCAGCATGGGCAGCCGCGCGCCTGCCAAGGACCTGCCGGTGAGGCGAGCAGTGCAAAAAGCATCTCGCCCTTGAGCAGCGCGACCGGCGCCAGAACCTGCACGGCGAGCGGCCCGACGGAGTCGAGCACCGCTGCGTCGAGCAACGCAGAGGCATCCAGCGCCAGCGGCCTCGCGTCTGCGAGGGGGGCGAGCAGTGCAACGAGCATCGCGTCCTTCAGCATCGCGTCCTTCAGCAGCGACGCCGCGCGGAACGACGGGGTCGAGCGCCACCGCGATGTGCAGCGCGGCGGGGTCCATCGCCAGCAGCCTCGCACCCACGAGTGGGGCGCAGTTCATCGAATTCCGCGTCTTTCAGCATTGCGTCGGTGACGGCACCTCGAAGGCCGTGCCCTTGAGCAGCGCGACGGGATGCAGCACTAACGGCTTCATATTTACGAGTGAGTCGAGCAGTGCAACGGGAGTCGCTTCTTGGGCCCGTGCCCCAACGCGGAGCAGGGGGGCGGGGTCGAGCACCGCGACGGGCCCGGCGCCGGCAGCCTCGCATCTACGAGTCAGGCGACCAGTGCAACGAGCGCCACGTCTGAAGGTGGCACGTCTGGCACCAGCGCCTCGACGTCGAGTTGCATCGGTGAGCCAAGCGCCGCGACGTTGAGCAGTGCAACGGGGCCTGGCGGTAGCAGCTTGGTCACGAGCGAGACGAGCAGCGCAGTGAGCGTCGCGTCTTGCGGCAGCGCGTCGAGGCTCAGCGCGACGACGCTGAGCGGCGCGATAGGGTCGAGCGTCGTAGAGTTGACCTGCGCGACGGGATCCAGTGCCAGCTGTCTCGCGTCTGCGAGAGAGACGAGCGGTGGGCCTTCCAGGGCTCCGCAACCCTTCGTCTCAAGCCCCCCCGCTGGCGACGTCCGCGACCTCGCGGTTCCGCGCCGCGCGGAGGGCATCCGGGCTCCTCTCGGCGGGCCCCCCGGGGCTGGGCGGAGGAGTGGGGGCGGGGCTGGCGCGGCGGCGCGACCACCCGCGATGCGCGGGAGGCGTCGCGGCGCGCGCCGCGACGCACTAGCACGCCGCGCTTCGCGCCGCGGCGTTCGCCCGCGCACCTCGTAGGCCGGCTCCGGCACCCCGGCCCGCAGGGTCGGCAGACGCCGGCGCGCGCCCGTCACCTCGAGAGTGAGCGGGGCAGCTCCGCCCAGGGGGCCCGCGCCCCGCCCCGCCTGGGAACGTGGCCTAAGGGCTGCGAAACCATTCGCTGGGGAGAAAGAGCCCAGGCGACAGTTGCGCAGTCCACCGTCCAGAGACGGGCCCGCGTGAGCGCCCCCTCGCACTTTCCGCTTCCGAGAAGGCGCAGGGCGACGGTGCCTCTGGAGGCGGTTTGCCACCAGGGCCCCGCCCCAGGCGCAATGCTGCCTGCCGCGCGTGTTGCGTTGGGGCACGGCCATGCGGAACGCAGTTCCCCCCTGCCGCGCCTCCCGTTGCTGTTGGCCACGCGCCCGACGCTGGAGCGAGCTGCGCCCCCGGCGCCCCGGCGCCAACGGTCTGAGAGAGGACATGCGCGGGGCTGGCGAGGCGTCGAGGACCGGGCCTGGGCGGGCCAGCGCTGGCCGCAATTCGACGGGCTGGACAGTGCTGCCGCGCCCGGGCCCTCGCCGCAGCGCATTCTGCCATCGGGCCGTTGCCCTGCTCCGCCGGGGCGCGGGGGCTCGCGGCCTCGGCGCCAGCCATCTGGGCGCAGGCACCGGCGCGCCTCCAGTGCGGATCACCGATCGGAGGGTGCGTCTTCGCGCGGCGCTCGACGGTTGCCAGTCAACCAGCTGACCTTAGTTGCGAGACTGCTCTCGCCAACAGAATCAAGAAGCGATGCGGGGTCAATGCCGGCGGCGACGACCTGGGGGTTTGTCAAGGTAGCAGCCCCCAGGCACGCCATGGTGCCATGGTAGACCAGTCGAGCGACTCGCCATGACCAGCATTGACGCCTACGCGCCGCCGTGCAGGCCGACCGCGCCAGTTATGTCGCTACCGATGACCTTGGCCCGCCGACCTGATGGGCCCGCGCCGTTGCGTCATCCGAGCAGATGGACACCTGTCCGGACTGCGCAACCGTCGCGTACCACCAGGTGACCCCTCAGGTGAGCGACGACCCCGTCCAATATCCCGACAATGACCACGGCGCGCCCGATGATTCCATCGAGGATCCAGACGACCATGGAGGGTGCAGTCCGACGCTTCAACAGTTTACTATCAGCCTTGCTCACATCCTGCGTAGCATCCGGGAGCAGTCAGGACCCCGTCTTGCCAGATTCCGAAGAGCACAGTCCGCCTGGAACGACCTTTATCAGCATTTCCGATCGCCTGCTCACCTTGGGGCCTCTCCCTAGGCAAGCTTCCCAGTGCGCTTCGATACTCGCCGCTGGCCCACCAGTGCTAGCCTTTCCAGATTCCTGAGTGCGCTGCGCGAACCGGTGGCAACTGTTCCGTAGCCTTAGCCGTGGGCCCCTGAGGCACCCTGATACGCTGAGGTGCCCTATCCGTAGCGGCGCCGTGATACGCTGAGGTGCCGAGGCACGCGTGCCAGTGCGCGCTCGTAGCCTGCGCCTGTTCGTTCGGGTGTGCAGACGGGGTGTGCTTCTCCGTGCTCGCCACGGGCCTGCTCTGTTTTCCAGCCTCGCGGTCTTCTACAGACCGCGCCAAAGGGGTATGGCTTTTCTCCCACCCCTGTACATTGCGGTCAACCCGCATAGTAAGGATGAACGACTTTCCAAGGTTACCCCTACATCTTTGCCCCTTCGTCCCGTCCTTGGCGACTTTCGCTGGCCAGACCTTGCTCGAAAAACGTCAACATGACCCTTCAAGGCCCTCCTCCTCCTCCTCCTCCTCCTCTTCTTCTTCTTCTTCTTCTTTTTCCTCCTCCTCCTCCCTCCTCCTCCTCCTCCTTCCTCCTCCCTCCTCCCTCCTCCCTGCTCCCTCCTCCCTCCTCCCTCCTCCCTGCTCAACTCCTCCCTCCTCCCTCCTCCCTCCCCCCTCCTCCATCCTCCCTCCTCCTCCTCATCTCCTTCTCTTCTCATCCTCCTTCCTTCCTCGCTCCTGTCCCTTCCCTCGCCCTCCCCCTCTCCACCTCCCTTCCCTCCTCCTCTTCCGCTGCTGCTGATGCTGATGCTGCTCCTCCTGCTCTTTTGGTTCCTGGGGTTCCTTTGCCCATGCTACTTCGAGCTGGCCTCGCCATGGTGGGAAAAAAAGGGGCCATAAAAGGGGCCTCTGCTGCTGCTGCTGCTGCTGCTGCCGCTGCTGCTCCTCCTGTTCTTTCGGTCCTGGGTTCTGATGCCCATGCTACTTCGAGCTGGCATCGCCATGGTGAAAAAAAGGGGCCATAAACAGGGCCAGCTCATCATCCTGAGCCGTTTTCTGACGGTCATGGGTTTGGTGGAGGGCCCCATGTCCAGAACACGGCGAAATATCCCGACCCCCCGCTCTTCCTTGATCCTTCCCCTTCATGCTACCGCCTGGCCCCACAGGTTTCGTTCGATTGCCCTTCCTCAGAAGACGGCGGCGCCACGTCGGTATATTGCGATTCCCGGGAAGCAGTCTAATTCGGCATCGGCACTCTCAGACACGTGGCAGGACATGCGGGCCAAGCCCGCCCGAGTCCCGCGGTGGCCCAGCTCAGTCCCGCCCGATCCGGCTTAGCCCCTCTTCCTCCTCGGTTTGGTCGGGTTTGGCCTGGCTCCATTCAGGAGGGGAGAAAACACACAGACACAATTAACCGTCGATTCCCCAGGAAATATGGGAAACTATGGGAATTGGGCGGGAAGACAAAAAAACACCCAGAAAATCTGGGAAACTATGGGGAACCTTTTTATTTGTGTGTATTTATTGGTGTGTCCCAGGGCCCCTTCATCCATCGCTCCTGCATCGGGCCGAAAAGTTTCAAGCGCGCCGACGGAAAAGCCTCCCATCTACACTGGACTCCCGAGCCTGGCCGCCAGGCGCGCGCTCGGGGTTCAGTCGCTCTGTCTGCCTCTCTCTCTCTCTTTCTCTCTCTCTCTCTGTCTCCTCCCTCCTCCCTCCTCTCCTCTCCTCCTCCTCCTCCTCCTCCCCTCCTCCTCCTCCTCCTCCTCACTCCTCCTCCTCCTCCTCTCCTCCTCTCCTCCTCCTCCTCCTCCTCCTCCTCCTCCCCTCCTCCTCCTCCTCCTCCTCCTCCCCCCTCCCCCTCACCCATCCTCTTCCGCTTCCTCTCCCCCTTCCTCTGTCCCTTCCTCCCTCTCCGTCCTCCCCCTCCTCCTCCCCCTCCCCCTCCTCCTCCCTCCTCCCTCCTCCTCCTCCTCCATTCCTCCTCCTCCCTCCATCCTCCTCCCTCCTCCCCCTCCTCCCTCCTCCCTCCTCCCTCCTCCCTCCTCCCTCCTCCCCTCCTCCTCCTCCTCCTCCCTCATCCCTCCTCCTCCCTCCCCTCCCTCCCTCCTCTTCCTGCTCCTACCTCACTCCTCGTTCCTCCTCCTCCTCCTCCTCCTCCTCCTCCTCCTCCTCCTCCTCCTCCTCCTTCCTCCTCCATCTCCATCTCCTCCTCCTCCTCCTCCTCCTCCTCTCCCCTCCTCCTCTCCTCCTCCTCCTCCCTCCTCCCTCTCCTCCTCCTCCCTCCTCCCTCCTCCCCCCCTCCTCCTCCTCCTCCTCCTCCTCCTCCTCCTCCTCGCTCCTTCCCTCCTGCTCATCCGCCTCCCTCCTCCTCCTCCTCCCTCCTCCTCCTCCTCCTCCTCCAGCTGTCCTCCTCCTCCTCATCGTCCTCGTCCTCCTCCTTCCTCTCCTCCTCTCATCCCTACCTCCTCCTCCCCTCCTCCTCCTTCCTCCTCCCTCCTCCTCCTCCCTTCCCTCCCTCCTCCCTCCTCCTCCTCCTCCTCCCTCCTCGTCCCCTCTTCTTGCCCCTGCCTCGCTCTGCCTCTCTGCCTCCTCGAGGCCAGGGGGATCTCCGGAGCCACCGCCCAGGGGGGCCGATCTCCGAGGGGGACCTCGGCACGTGGTCGACGCGGAGCCGAGCTCGGGCGCCAGGAGCGCCACGCGCCTGCTGCCGCACCGCCCGCACGCCGAGGCCCCCTCGAGATCTCGGGGCGGCGCGCCGACGGGGGGGGGAGCGAGGCGATGGGGAGGCGGGCCTCCCCAGAGCGCGGCGAGGCCTCCCTCTCCGAGGAGCCCTCCATGGCCGTCCCCAGCAGGCAGGATGCCGTCTCCAAGCCTGAGGTTTCGAAGAGGTTTAGAAGAGGTTTAGCCTCAGGTTAGAAAAGGTTTCATGGCTTTGTGGAACAGGTTTTAAGAGAGCTTCCCAGAGCGCGGCGAGGCCTCCCTCTCCGAGGAGCCCTCGACGGCTCTGGCAAAGGTGCAGAAAGCGTCCCATGCGGCCGGAGTCTCGAAGCCTTCTGCGGAGGCCCGCCCCCTCAAATCACCACCCACCAAACCACCCCAACCCAACCCGGAGGCCTCAAGTTGACCTCCATTTCCAGTGGGGGGGGGGGGTCGGGGAATTCGAGAACACGCCCATGGAACCCGTCCCCCCCCCCCCCAACCCGAAGTTCGGGCCTTCGGGTTGGGCTGGGGTGGTCTGGTAGGTAGTCCTCAAAGCCTCTGCCCGGCCCCCCCGGGGGCGTGCCGCCCACGAACATCGATCGACACCTCTGGCGGCGGGCCCCGTGGGAAGCCCCGCCCGCCTCGCCTCACCCCGCGCCGCGCCCGACCGCCTCGGGGACCCAACACAGCCGGCCACCAGCGGCGGCCGCCGCGGCGGCGGGCGCGCCGGCGGCGCCGGCAGGCCGGGCAGCTACCACGGAGGGCGCGTGACCCTTCGCCGGAGTGACCTTTGGTGCGCGCTCACTGGGGTCCCCCGATCGCCGCGCTCGTTGCGATAGCAGCGTCTGGCACGCTTGTGTTGGGTCTCCTCGCGCCCCCCCCAAAAGCCGCGCACCAAGGGTCACTCCTGCCCAGGGTCGCTCTTGCGTACAGCCGACGCCGCTGCGAGGGGCGGTCCGGAGAGGGGCCGCGCCGTCGAGGGGGTCGAGGGGGGCGGCGCCTCTTCTTCTCCCCGGCGGTGGCCTGCGGAGGTGGAGCAGGGGCGGCTGCTCTGGCGGAGGGCCGGCGGGAGCCGGCGGCAGAGCGAAGTGCTGCCCCTTCCTCCTCCTCCTCCTCCTCCTCCTCCTCCTCCTCCTCCTCCTCGACCTCGTTCTCGTCCTCCTCCCCAGGGGTGGCAGCATGGCTCCGGGTTCAGGGTTTTTGGGCCCCCCCCTGAGGCCACGGCTTCACATTTTTTCGACACCGGGTGTTTTCGCTTGGGTTCGGGCCCTGGGGGGCCCTCGCCGATCGGTCCGGCTCGAGAAGTGCCGCGGGGTGATCCTGCCTAGGGGTCCAGGGCTCTGTCGTGAGACGTCGGATCCGAGGGACGGGCCCTCAAGGGGAAGGGGGTCCTGGAGTTGATTGTGGCTGCCTGTGGCCTGCCACGGCCCTTCCTGGGCCTGGGTCCGTGAAACTGATCGGCGCGGAGATTCCCACATGTGTATCGCAGTTCCTGGCGCTCCCGTCTGCGAGTGTTTGAGTGTGAGATTGTTTGCCCGTGGCGACTGCGCGTTCCCTGGCGGCTTCCCCCCGGGCGTGCCCAACAGTGTTACGCCCGCTGCGTCGGCATGATCCTGGGGCTCCGAAGGGAGACGCGTCGGGGGCGCCCCCGTCAACCAGCGCCTCGCCCGAGAGGTCCTTCGATCCAGGTGCGAGCTGGCCAGCGCAGCACCCCCTTCTGCCGAGACTGCTTCGCTGCGGCGAGGAGGGCAGAAACGGGCGAACCGCCCGAGACACTCCCCCATGGGGGCCTGTTGAGGCAAGCCGGGACCACCTCAGGGGCCCTCTGTGTGCATCCCGAAGCCAGGGCGGGCCTCGCCAGCGCGTCGCCGGTGCACCTGCTGCCCTCGGTAGATGGAGCAGGCCTTCTCAGACGGCGTCGGGGCCTTCGAAGGAGGCTCAGAGGGCTTCTCAGCAGACCGGAGGCCGTCTTGGCCATCTGAGGAGGCTCGCACCCTCTGCCTTTCCCCCCTCGGCACGCCGCCGATACTGCCTCCCCCGGGGCCAGAGGTCTTTTCTACGACTTGGCCGGGGCGTCGCAGTTGTCGTCGGCGTCGTCGTTGTGATTATCGTCGCTGTCACGGTCGTTTCCGTCGGCGTCGTCGTTGTCGGAGGAGGATGAGGATGAGGCGGAGGATGAGCGTGAGGAGGAGAAGTAGGACAGTGAGCAGAGGAGGAGGGGGAGGATGAGGAGGAGGAGGAGGAGGAGGACGAGGAGGAGGGGGAGGAGGAGGAGGAGGAGGAGGAGGAGGAGGAGGATGGGAGGAGGAGATGGATGGATGGATGGATGTGATGAGATGGAGGGAGGGAGGGAGGGAGGGAGGGAGAGGAGGAGGAGGAGGGGAAAGGAGGAGGAGAGGAGGGGGAGGAGGAGGAGGAGGAGAGGAGGAGGAGGAGGAGGAGGACGAGGAGGAGGACGAGTAGAAGGAGGAGGAGGACGAAGATGAGGACGAGGAGGGCTGTGTCTAGAGAGGGACTCCGCTTCTAGAGAAGGGCAATGTTCTGGCGGGGGCTCTGGGGGCAGCTTGGGAGAGTAGGACACGGGGTGATGTGTGGAGGGGTAGGAGGAAGGGGAGTGCATGGCAGGGGAGGAGAGGGAGGGGAGGAGGAGTACGGAGGCTGCGGGACTCCGCGTCAAGTCGAAGCGACTGGCTTTAGCCCTCTGAGGGGCATGCTCTCTCGATGGCGCAGGGCCCCGAGGAGGAGTACGGGGGGAGGGATGGGGAGGACACTCAGGGTGAGGGGGCTGGCGAGGGGAGGGGAGGAGGGCAGGAGGGCAGGGGGAGGTCGATTTCGGCGCCGCAGAACCCTCAACCTTTGCTGGTTGCGCCGTCGAGCACTCGAGGCCCCCTCGGGCAGGGGGGGGGCGCGGGGCGCAGGCGTGTCGCGCGACGGGGGCTGCAGGTTTGAAGTGGGGAAGAAGGGCCCCGACCCCCCCCCGATATCGACATTGTCGTCGTTCTTGCCTGCACCGCTCCATGTCCTTGCTGTTCCCGGCCCTTGGGTAGTCTCTCATATCATTCCTTTAAATTATTTAAATGCTGGAACTTGGAGTCGGTCGGTCCGCGATCACCCCTCGCCGCACTATTTCTTGACCGCGGCTTCCCTTGCAGAGCGTTGCGTCCCAGCCCCAACGTTAGCATTGCAATCCGTTGCAATCGATTTCATCTCGCGACCGACATCGTGAGTAGGAAAACCTTGCTATTTCGCAGAGGAGGGTCCGGAATATTAAGGCCTCCCGTTAACAGAAGGGTTGGGAAAGTTAGGTTGCAATTAAAGGAGATCTGGTTTCTTTGATGGGGGTCAATTAAGGAGGGATTTCGAGTACTCGTCGAAAGAATTAGAGCAGCCGGATGTCTGGGCCTGTTCTTGCTCCAACCCCCCTCTCAGGGAAGGTACTCGGGGGACACAAAAAACATACTCATTGATTTTCGGAGCTCCGCGCGGATCTCTCGGATCGGCGCTGGGCTCCTCTGGCTGCGCCCCTGGCGCTGCCCCTGGTGCGCTCCGCGCGCCAGGGGGGGTGGGGTCCAGCGACGATCCAAGAGACCCACGCGGACATCCGAACATTATGTTTCTGCCGTCTTCGTTATTTTTGAACGGGTGCCAATACTGCTGCCTTTACTTCGTTTCAAGTTTTTGGGCCTCCTGGGATTCCCTCGTCGCCACCGCTAGATTCGCCTCGGAATTTCGGTCAGGACGCAGCCTTGGAGAGGTCCAGGGAGTAGCGAGTTTGGTATTTTTTGGCTTCCCCCCGCTCGGTTGCAACGGACGGGCGCCCATCACAGACGGGCGCTGCCCCCGTGTCGGGGGAGTCCAAGAGAGGGGTGAGACCTTCTGGGTGTGTGGATATGTCATGGCCAGGCCATGATGTTTCTCTGAATTTCATTTCCCTCTCTTCTTCTTATCATTCTTATTTTTCTTTTTCTTCTTCTTCTTCTTATTACTCTCACTGCTCGTCTTTTTTTTGCTTGCATTCGTAGTTTTACTTGTCTTAGTCTTCTTCTCTTAATGCGTATTGTTGCGAGTAATATTCTTAGTCGTCGGATTTGATATTATTCTTATTATTCGCATTGTGAGTAAAACATACATTCTGGTTGTTATTCCTGCTGCTTTCATACGTATTATTATGTTTCTTCTTCATATGGTGATTCCAACTATTCTTGATATTATTATTCTTCTTATTCGTATCGTTCTTCTTATTATTCGTATTGCTCCTCTGATTCGTATTCTGATTGCTCGTGCCATCATTGTCATTGGATTCCTCAGTCTTGTTCTGGTTACTCTTAGTATCACGGTTCTTATTCGTATCGTTCTCAGTCTGATTCGTCTTCACTCGAACTATGCATCCCTAGGGCTCTCCCTGGGAGCCGCGCGCGTGCCCCAGGACATGGCCTGCGACCCCCCTCGTGGACGCCCCCCTCCCACCTCCCTTTTGCACACACCTCCTCCTCCTCCTCCTCCTCCTCCTCCTCCTCCTCTTCCTCCTCCTCCTCCCCCTCCCCATCCTCCTCCTATTCCTCTTCCTCTTCCTCTGCCCCTCCCTGCCCCTTCCTCCCCCTCCTCGTCCCCCTCCCCCTCCTCCTCCTCCTCCCCCTTCCCTCCTCTTCAGCATCGGCGCCAGTAGATCCGCGGACGGAAAAAGGGTATGATCCGGTCCAGTCCCGCTGAGCCCGGCCTAACCCCCACTTACAGTCGAGACTGATTAGTAGGTCGGCCCTTCCGAATCAAGGGTGCCCTTGTGTCCTGAGCTTCGCGACCCACGTCTTCTTGCATTCCTATGGCAGTGTGGCCCTCGGAAGGGTCTTGTGTCCTCTCGCGTGTCCTCTCCTGTCAATCCCGACTCTACTTAATCCGATCAAGAATCACGCGCAGTGGGGCTCCGACAGCCAGCACCGGGCGGCGACTGACCGTGCGGTGAGACTGTTCTGGGTTTCGATGTCGTCACGCGGTCTGTCACCGCACCGCTTGGGGCCCCCGGATCCAAGTCCTTGCGCCCGCCCATTCTTGCACAATGAACGCAGTAAGCGCATGTGCCCGAATCGTCAAGTAGAGAACTGGCACCATGGTGTGCAAGAATCGACCAATGTGTCGCCAGGAGTCTGGGGAGCTCTACGCCCCGCGGCAGCGTTTGTCGGACCTTCCTCCATTGCCGCGCCTTCGTTGTTGATTCTTGTTCCGGGCCCCAAGGATATACACCACCACCACCACCACCTCCAGCGCCATAACCAGCGCCACCACCACCACCACCACCACCACCACCACCACCACCACCACCACCACCACCACCACCACCACCACCACCACCACCACCACCACCACCACCACCACCACCACCACCACCACCACCACCACCACCACCACCACCACCACCACCACCACCACCACCACGGTTCCCCCTCCCTCCTCTTCCCCTTTTTCCTGGGGGAGGAATGGGGGGTGAGGGAGACGGTGGTGGTATATACTGTTGGGCCTCGTAGTCGTTGGCAAAAACAAGATCCTCCCCCCCGCAAGCCTCCTGGCCGCCAGGGTGGGCCCCCCTTGCGGTCGACGTCGCGTTCCCCGTGGCCCTGCTGCTGTTCGTGCTGCCGGCGTGGCGCGCGCACGTGGTCCCGCAGGACCATCGGCTCCCAGCAAGGCAGAGATATATATAAAGAGAGAGAGAGAGAGAGATCGACGATGGTACTTTTAGAATTTTCTGGCCCCCTCTGGGCTTCCGGATGCCCAGACTTCCTCCCGTTGCGAACGGAAACAGACGACGGATGGTTCTTGCCAATGTTTCCGCTCCCAGGGGCTTCCACGGGGCGCTGGGACCGTCAAACGTTCCCGGGCTGCGATGCGGCCCGATGCTAGCATGTCGCTGCCGTGCATCCTGGCGCAGCCGCTCCGATTCGATTTCGACCGACGTGAGTTCGATCCGAACCGACGTTCCAACCGATGTTCCGGTTCGATGCCCTCCCTCTTGGTAGCACGGGCGCCTTCGACCCAGACTGCGTCCGCTCGACCTTTTCGATCGAAGAACAGTAAAGAACCCTGCCCCAGGACGCCTCGAAGGTTTCCAACCCCGCGTGCGGTCGTAAACGGTGTAAACTTTACAATCGCCCCTAGCACTGGCGTTCACGATTACGAAACAGTAATAGTTAACACCGTTCTTCGCGGGCTCATCTCTGTCCCCCCTCTCTCTCTTCCCTCTTTGCTCCCTCTTCTCACTTTCCCCCTCCTTCCTTTCTCACCCCCTGCTCTCTCCTTGAAAGCCCTGCCCTTGCCCAGCTCGTGCGAGAAGCGCACTGGGAGGCCATGGAAGAGAGGGAGGCATAGAGCCCTCCTACCCGCCTCGATGGGGCCGTGGTGGATCAACTAACTCATCATCAGTCGTGCCCTCGTCCTTGCCCATCCCAATTCCCTCTTTCTTCACTGCGCCTCTCCACGAAGCAGACCACTCTTGAAGGAAAAACGGGTCCTGAAGTCGCTTGCCCCCTTTCGGGCTCTCGGGGCCCTCCCTGATGCCGTGGGCCCGTCCAGAGCAGAGTCCGGAGGGAGACTTGGTCCCAGAGGAAGGTCCTTGGCATCGCTCGGACGGGTGCATGTCTTTGTCGGCGAGGACCATCGAGGAGCATCTCGGATCATCTGGCCTGAAACGCATCGTGCGTCACGGGGGATGGACGTCAGGGCGACGGCAAGGGCCAGGGGGTGCAGGCCCCGCTCTCCTCGTGCCAGTGCTCCCCTCTTCCCCTTCCCCCCCCCTTCCGCTGCCTTAGGTGCCCGTGCAGAGTTTTCGAAGCTCGACGTGACTGTGCTGAACTGTCTCCGCAGGCTGCGTGCCATCTTTTGCTGACAGGCTATCTGCTTCAACAGCGCTGCAATTCAAACCCCTCTGCTGCCAGGCCCTCGACGACCGGGGGCGCACCTCCCAGGCGCGGCCCCGCGAGGCCGAGGCGCTCTGCCGGAGCCCCGGCGGCGAGCTGGAGCTGGAGCTGGAGGCGCCGCTCGCACCCCCCAGGGCTGCTGGGAGAGGGGGGAGGTCAGGCGATGGCAGACATGGATCAACGGGGGCGTGGCTCTGCGACGGGTCCTCTTTCGATGGAGGACCGCGGATGTCCGCCGCCGAGCAAAGCGGCACCGGCCGCATTTTGGGGAAGGGCACCTCCCCCGATCCATGGACTTGGCGACCGCGCGCCAGGTCCATGGACCGCCAGTCCACGTTTGCGCGCCCCCGAGGAGGGGGGGGTTCGCTACCGACCAAACCACCCCAACCCAATCCGAAGGCCCCAGACCCTCTCAACTCTCAAGCTTCGAGTTGGGGTGTGTGCTGTTTCCGTCGTGTTCCCTCGGTGTTATGGAGTGCCCCCGCGGGAAGCTTACGATCCCAACGGTTGCTTCGGGCTGGGTTGGGGTGGTTTGGTAGGTAGTCAGGGGGGGTGGGTATGCGCCTGCTGGGAGGCTATCTTCGGGTTCTCGGTTCCAAGCGCTGCCGACCCCAGGGCCACCCTGCTCAGAGCAGCGGAAAAGCAGAGCCGTTGGGTCACAGCACCCTGCGGAGCCGCCGTCCCTGGCGGTGGCAAGATTCGGAGGACGACGACGGCAAGGACACGAGCGCAGAGCGGGGAACGAACGACGAACGACGAGGCAATCCACGCTGGGCGGTCTTTGGGGGTCAGGGGAAGGTAAGCTTACTTCTTTTGATTCTCTTCGCCTGGGGCGGCAGCTGTATCAACCAGTACGGTTTCCCTTACTTCAGTTGCGCATCATTCGATGCTTCCTGCCTGGGGCAGTGTTTGATCAAAATATCTGACGGGCGTCGCCCTCTGCCCCTCTTCTGACTGCTTGCATATCTGCGCTTGTTCGGCTGGTCAGTTTGTTGGCTTGTCAGTTGGCTGGCTGATATCTCGGCTGATTGGCCTGTTGCCAAAATAGACGCTTGGCAGTTGGTTTTAGCTGGTTGCTGGCTGGCTGGTTGCGCTCGTCTATAGAAATCAATAAGAGATGGTGGCCTCGGCGGCGCAGTTCCATTGTAGTTTACGAGGGTTTGCGGCTTCCGGAGTGCACACCCCTCACTATTCTATTGGATTCGCGGCGCCGTGTCCAGGGCAGAATTTGCGGAAAATGCCGGGGGGGGGGGGGGGGGGGGCCCCCCCTAACACATATTCCCCCCCCGCACCAGAAAGTTTCAGTTTTTCTGGCCTGGAGAGGGGCGGGGGGGGGGATCGGGCGCTTTTGGGCAGCCTCCGTTGTGCGCGCGCGTGTGTGTGTGTGTGTGTGTGTGTGTGTGTGTGTGTGTACATGTTCGTGGCCTTGGGGGCGCGACTGCGTCGCTATTTACAGAGTATAGCGATCTTTGCACCGCGAGTCTGCCGCGTAATTTGAGGGAGTTTCTGTGGAACTCACGTCATCCTCACCCCCGGCGCGAAGAGCACGAGCCCAGAGCGGCCTCGGCACCGTTTCCGGACAGATCCGGTGGATCCGGTGACGAATCCCAAACCGGCGCCCTCGCTTGAGACCATCTCACAAACCGCCCCGGGGGAGGTTGCACAGAGGGAGCCCAGAGCGCCTCCGGCACCGTTTCCGGACACATCGGGTGGATCGTGACGAATCCCAAAACGGCGCCCTCGCTTGAGACATCCTCACAACGCCGGCCACGGGGAGATCGCCGAGCTGGGCCCAGAGCGGCCTACGAACACCGTTTCCGACAGATCGGTGGATCCGGTGACGGTCCCAAACCGCGGCCTCGCTTGCGGACATCCTCTCTGCCCGGCCCCGGGGGAGGTGCCCAGAGGAGCCCAGAGCGGCCTCCGGCACTGTTTCCGGACAGATCCGGTGGATCTGGTGACGAATCCCAAACCGGCGCCCTCGCTTGAGACATCCTCACAAAACCGGCCCCAGGGGAGGTGCCCAGAGGAGCCCAGAGCGGCTTCCGGCACCGTTTCCGGACAGATCCGGTGGATCCGGTGACGAATCCCAAACCGGCGCCCTCGCTTGAGACATCCTCACAAAAACGGCCCCGGGGGAGGTGCCCAGAGGAGCCCAGAGCGGCCTCCGGCACCGTTTCCGGACAGATCCGGTGGATCCGGTGACGAGTCCCAAACCGGCGCCCTCGCTTGAGACATCCTCACAAAACCGGCCCCGGGGGAGGTGCCCAGAGGAGCCCAGAGCGGCCTAATCCCAAACCGGCGCCCTCGCTTGAGACATCCTCACAAAACCGGCCCCGGGGGAGGTGCCCAGAGGAGCCCAGAGCGGCCTCCGGCACCGTTTCCGGACAGATCCGGTGGATCCGGTGACGAATCCCAAACCGGCGCCCTCGCTTGAGACATCCTCACAAAACAGGCCCCGGGGGAGGTGCCCAGAGGAGCCCAGAGCGGCCTCCGGCACCGTTTCCGGACAGATCCGGTGGATCCGGTGACGAATCCCAAACCGGCGCCCTCGCATGAGACATCCTCACAAAACCGGCCCCGGGGGAGGTGCCCAGAGGAGCCCAGAGCGGCCTCCGGCACCGTTTTTGGACAGATC